TCAACTAGTCACAAAAATGACAACATAGTATGACTCAATGTAAAGAAGAAACTCAACACTTATTAATTCAAAACAAAATTTCTGTTGACCTAATAATCAATGTTACCAAATAAGGACTTAATTTCTTCAAATGGATATTAAGAACCTACCACATGCCAAGTAATAAGCTGTACCAAAATGAGTAAGACAGTCCCCAACTCCTTAAAAACAGATTAGCAAAGAAAACAGACAAATTAATCACTAGTTATAACTCCATGTAGTAAAATCTATGAGGTGAGCACTAGGTGATGTTCGAGCCTAGAATGGGCACCTTCATCAGGATTAGCTCATAGCTTCTCAAGTACCTTCATATCACCTTCCTAGGAGCAAAGCCAACTCTTCACTCAGTTACCAGTGGTTTGGGAATCAAGGAATGGTACTATTTAGTATTATTTATTTTCATGATCAATGACTTTTACTCTTCATCAATGATCAGAGGGGATTACTGGACCACATACATAGCACAGAAAAAGCACTCACCAGGAAACTCAACCTGTTTGTAAAAATTATACATGGTCCAATTGCAATGTGGTATTCTGGACTGGGTTATGGGACAGAACATGAGTGGAAAACTTCTAAATGAACATGAGTGGGAAAACTTGTAAAATCCAAACAAAGTCTTTGGTTCCACTAATAATCCTGTTAATTTCTTAGCTGTTTAACATCTGTACCATGGTTGTGTAAGAAGTTAACATTAGGAGAAGCTGGGCAAAGGTATACAGAAACACTCTGAACTTTCTTTGAAACTTTTCTATAAACTTAAAATTGTTCCACAATTTATTATTTTTTTGTTTTTACTTAAATATGGCTTCTTACATAACATCCTTACTTCTCCTTGAGATCATGCCTCTTAATCACTGCCTCAACTCAAATATGCTAGGCAAAATATTTTTTTAAAAAATCTTTTTCAATTCCTTCCTGTAAACCATTTGCACAGCCAGGCTGGGATTCCTTCTTCACCAAGACATAAAAAGCTAGATCACACTTGGAAGGTTTTAGATGCTTTCTCTTCCTAATAGCTTGAATATATATCAGGGGGTATATATACTTGGATTTGAACTGCCCAAAGAGGACAGACCAGACTCCTCTAATGTCATAAAATTGAATCTGTCATATGGCACGTTGACTGTAATAATAACAGTACTGACCTGGACCACTTCCAGAAAGATGAACAGGTGAAATAATTTCTCTATAATAATTCAATTCACAAATCTCTATTTAATGACCTGCCATAGTTTAACTGTTCACAAGCCTTTCTCCAATATAGGATTAAGGTCTTAAAATGTAACTAGCACATTGCCTAGGGCAAAATGGGTCCTCAATAAATGCTTTGTGAAAGAAGACACAATAGTAATCTACCTTTGAGATCCTTTTATAAACCAATTAAATATCCAGACCTAGTAGAGCATGCTGTATACCATGCTACCACATTTAGGAGGCAGTCAAGTTACCTGAAAAACAATTAATAGCAACTAATGTTTGTTCGGGAAAAAAAAATTAAAAAGTCATGAGTCATAAAAATCAATGTAAAAATTTGACTAAAAGTGTCATAAAGATCAATGTAAGGGGGTTGGGGATATAGCTCAGTGGTAGAGTGCTTGCCTCTCATGCACAAAGCCCTGGGTTCAATCCCCAGCACCACAAAAAGAAAAAAAAAATCAATGTAAAAATGTTAACTAAAAGTAGAGAGATATCTCTATACCAATTTTGTTTCCCTTGAGGGCCACAAACGTGAATCCACCTATAACTTTCTAATATTGAGAGGACACTGAATCCTAACCACTAGACTACCAAGGATCACCAACTTTCCAACACTATTAATACAAAACTTTAAGGAATCTTTGATTATCCATAATACTTTATAAAGAATTTGTTATCGGGGCTGGGGATGTGGCTCAATCGGTAGCGCGCTTGCCTGGCATGCGTGCGGCCTGGGTTCGATCCTCAGCACC